GCCCCCCCGGAAAAATTTTTGAAAATATGCTTAAAATAGTGCATTTCTGGGCCATTTTATAATGATCACAAACTTTGTGGAGGGGAAAAAAAGTTCACATTTTAACCCAATTATTGTTCTGTCAGTACCCACAGAAAAAAAATATAATGAAGTATTACTTTCAAACCATTGATAAAGATGTAGAAAAAGTGAATAGTAATGAGATGAAAGACAGCAACTATTTAGCTACACATGTGTTCACCTACCTTTTAACAGCTTGATTTGAGCTTCAGGAGGGGTTGAGAATACATTTAACTGCATGGGCTACTTCTTGAAGAAATCCCTTATGCAGGACTTCTTCTTGTGTGGCTGGGTGGGCCCATCATCTTGAGTCTTCCTCTTTAGACATTGTGAAGTGACGGTAGCTTGCTGGGTGGAACATGTGGCTGTCACTATCTCTTCTGGCTTGGAGGAGGTGCTTGCATTAACAGCACTAAGTGATGATGTAAGGCTACCAGTATTGTTCTCAATGGCTGCTCTTGCCTCATTTGCCCTTTCATGGATAGATGTAGTAGTTTTCTTAAACTTTGGAATCCTTCTGACTTGTGACTTTTTCACAGACTTCATCCTTTTTGCTGCTGTTTGCATATGGTAGCATAGAGAAGGGTCTACTGGAGAACAGACAGGATCCTCTCTGTGGTAAAACTGGGTAGACTTCTTTTGATGATTAAGTAGCTTGTATTTAACTTTTTGGATGGCCTCATATGTCTGCACTTGAGTTCTATTTGTGGTGTTTGTAATTACATTGTTCATAATACTAAAAGAGGATTCAACCCTGGGCCCTGTGAAAATGGACAAGCAAGCCTTGATGACAGGACCAAGAATAGCATACTGCGGATTGTTGAGGACAACTGACCACCACTTGTCCAGTTTTTTCTCCTTGATGGTAGAGGTGAATTTAGTGTCATTCTGAAGGGAAGAAGCAGCTGTTGTAAATGTGTCTTTCTGAACATTATCTGTGACTTTAGGAAGGAGATCAAAAAGGTCCTGCAGTCCGGATGCTGCTCTACTGTGACCACAGAGCTCTGGGTCAAGAGTAGACAAAAGTTGAAGGTTTTTATTCTTGATAGGGAGTTTCTGGATAAGGTATGCACTGGTCTCCCGATATGAAAGTAAAACAGTCTTCATGTGGGCCTGGGCTTCAGATCTTCCCATTTCTTCTAAAATTAATTTGGCAGCATCTCCAACATACACTCTATCCAAGGTGTGAACGTTTTCAGAGTAGGCATTGACTTTGAAAATGTGACAGCTGTTGACATACTCATGAGTCAGGAAACAGGTTAAAAAAGTTTTCAGGACCAGAGTAAGCTCATCATGGAGCCTGTGCACCATCGGCTCTTTCTGTTCGAACGTCAGAATGAAACTCTTGAAAAGAGGTAGGATGCTGACAAGGATGTTGGCAACTAAAAGGCTGCGCTGTCTTTTCTTGATAAGCCTGTCTGAGATCCTCTTCTTTCTTTCTTTCCCAGCAGGAGTTAACTTCTTTGACTTAAGCCTCTGAAGAATACTTAGAATGTTGAGCCTTGAGTCTTTCCTTATACCTTGTAGGATTCTTGTTAGCAGTGGTTGCTGTTGCTGCTTTTCCTCAACTGTCAACCATGACGAATAAAAAAGAGTCAGAGCATTGTGGATTTCAAAAAATCTAGCGGAAGCATCATAAATTGACATCCATCTGTGACTGGCTCTTTGAATCGGCACTAGTTCAGCGAGTCCAAGATGCTTGCATATACACTTCAGATCATCACGCAGATCTGCACTGAAGTCCATGTCATTGTAAAGATCATCTAACAGTCTAGACAGCATCTCAGACGGGTCAAGATTGGACGAGAATTTCTTCACAGCATTGTGAATATGGTGACACACGTCCCCATCGATATCCATAACATGAGGTGCTACTGCCTTGAGTCTAGCATGAAATCCACTGACAGAACCTCTCATATACGCAGCAGAGTCGGACAGAGCACTAACAAGGTTTGTCAGAGGGATCTGGTCCTCCTTGAGTTTGTTACGTACAGCATCAAACACAGTCTCAGCATTGACAATCGTCATCTCCACACTGGAATACAGATCACAAACACATTTCTTCAGCTCCTCAGAAAAGTAACTAACAAGGACATTAAGAACTCTCTTGTGTGCTGCTTTTGATGTTGATTCATCAAGGTTAATGGAGAATGGTGTCTTCTTCATTATGTTGACCAGACGGACGTGTTCAAGATAGGAGAGGCCATAACGAAGTTTATAAGTGGCTGTTTGTCGTTCCATATGTAGCTGTGATAGGGCCTTGCTATCCTTAGACAACTCTTTTGCTAAATCAATAAGATGGGGGGCCATTGTCATGGATATCGTGTGCTCTGCCATAAATGAACAGAGAAGAGCTTCCTGGTGTGATACTCTGTCTTTCAAGGAAACAGGCTTACTTGGGTCAGTTGGTACTGTTAGAGTTGAACTTGAACTGCTGGGGATGCCTAAACATTCCAGATTTGGGGCCGCCCCATACGGCAATGTCTGACAGGTTGCACTGGAACTACCGTCTATCCTGTCCTTTGTTGCTTGCATTGCTGCAGGGAGTCGCTGGTTCGATTTCTCGATAGATCGGTTTCTGGTGTGAACCCTTGTCTTGGCATGGTCCCTAAAACAACGTAAACCTCCACTACGGTACTTGATTTCCGTTTTGCAATAACAGCACCAAGCTACACCATCTTTCCCTACCTTGCGAATGTAACCACTCAAAAAGTCATCATGATCGTCTTTGGTTGATAACCATTCCCATCTAAACTTGTTCTTACTTGAAACGTCGATCACATCGACAGGAGCATTGCTTTCAACAAACTTCATGGAAGCCGCCATGTTGAATGAATAAAACAATGAACGCGAGATATTGCCAAATAGGGCTTAGAAAGTCAACGAACTCGGGCGCGCACGGCGATTTTTGTCCTCGCTAAAAGGTCTAAGCCTAGATCTACGTTGCTTGGACAACTTTCACTTCTCGTTCATAACGTGCAATTCACATGACTAGGCCTAGCTAGCAAAAATAAAGAATAGAAAACCCGTGAAAAGTCATTGCACATTTAGTTGACATCAGCTAACATTATGGCTGAATCGGCTGGACCCTACCGACCTGGCATATTTTGGTCAACACTGCCCCACAACGAGTCGTCAAATAGCTTCCGATTTTTTCCGCGGAATCCGAGGAAAATCTCGGACCAAAGTTTTAATAGTCCTTCCGATTTTTTAAATCGGAAATATGTTCGTGAATATAGTCGATCAAAGCCTAAACCAAACAAAGTGCGTGAAAAGAGTGTGTGCGGAGTGAGACTCCGTGCTCAAAGAGTGTGCATTGCTTACATTAACTTAAAACAAGGAGTCACTCATAACCTGGCCTATTTAATTAAAATAGGCCTAGATCTAGATTCTACATTGTAATTTTCTGGAATTACATAGTTAACAGAGTTTCTAATTTTCTCATTTCCACACTCCCTTTTCAACCCTTATTGAAATTTCTGAAATCAGAGAAAATCTGAAGGATTTACATCCCTGTCAATCGGCATGACGTCGGAGAATAGCTTCCGATCTATTGACCGGCGTGGGCGCCAGAGAATAGCTTCCAAGATCGGAGAACAGCCACTGGCACTAATCGAAACTCAGCGTTTTACTTAGCACTGGCGCTAATGGCAACGCAGCGTTGTAAATAGGCACTTCCGAAAAACAAGAAAGCGGCTATCCTCACCGGGGGTGAGAATAAAAATTAAATACAATCGACCTCTCACCCCAGGTGAGACTTGCCACTGTTGGCTATTCTCACCCGGTGTGAAACAAGGCCTGTTTTTCCTAATATCGAAATACTTTCTATCCGTGTGGATGATCAAAAGGATAAAAGCAAAGAAAAAATTACGTTATATATATAGCACAAAAATAAGCTAATTTGATCGTTTACAAAGATGCTATGGCTATTTCACTTTTCGAATCAAGCCGAACTACGCGGGTCACCATTTTGTTTTGCTCGGAAGTTCTTGCAAGATCTACTTTTCCCCTCTTCTCTCTCTCTGTCTCTTTCTGAATACTGTCTATCGGTGTGGACGATCAAATTAACCAAAACAAAGTTTAAAAATGATGATAAAACACAAAAGTAAATTAATTTGGTCGTCTACAAAGATGCTACGACGGCTATTTAACTTTTCGAATCGAGCCGAACTACGCGGGTCGCCATTTTGTTTTGCCCGGAAGTTCTCGCGCTACTTCTCTCTCTCTTTCTCTCCACTGCCCACAGACAAAAGGTAAATTTTTACTTTCACTCCCGCACACAGATGCAATGTTTCAGGGGTCAAACTGCAGTAATGCTTGCTGCAAATCACACATAAAGCCACTAAAACTGTCGCAAATCAATTATTTTCAAGACAATTTCAAATCTAACTGTAAAATATCAAATTATGGGTTAAAACAGGGGGGCATGCCCCCCTGTAACCCCCCAGATTTTCTTTTACCCCAGTGGGGCAGGCCCCCCTGGAACCCCCCGATTGGTCCAAAGCATGTCGATATCGGTTAAAAACAATCAAATATTTCAAAAACTATTAATTTGCAACGGGAATGAAGTTGATATTCATGTTCAGCGCATCAATATTTAGTAGAAATTAGACAACTGGTAGCTGAGTGTGAGACGGGAGGGAAATTAAAAAATACCAGACAAAATTGTACACTTTTAGACTAACAGTAGTAATGGAACGTTTGTTCACGGCACAGAATTCTACAATTTTTCTGTTATCACAGTGTAAAATTCTGGGGTTCAGGGTTAGCGCAAAATTGGTTGGCCTAGATCTAGGCTATAACGGTGAATGCACACCGGGTGAGAATAGCCAAAAGACTCGCCTGCCGGGGTGAGAATAGAGGTGGCCAAAAACAAACATTTTTGTGCATGATTATGACTATGATGGTTTCATTGAACACGCAGACTTGTGCCTTATTATTGTTGGATTCTCCCGAAAATTTGCATGGTGTGTTTCAAAGAAATTGTCTTCATGATCCCTTCATACCCAGACCAAAGACTATTTATAAATTGAACCCCCCCCCCCCCTTTTCGCATATATAGTCTAGATCTAGATCTAGATATATAATCTAGATCTAGATCTAGATCTAGATCTAGATCTAGAAAATCTAGATCTAGATTCTAGATCTCTATATATAAAGTTTGAGAGCAGACTAAACTTCTACTGCTGACACTGCGTCTGCTGTGATGCTGTGTGAAATCTCTCACTCACCCATAGTGTTCAATGTACGGGCTGTAATAAAAACCATTGTTTCCATCGCCGTTAAGAAGACCCATGGTTAAAAATACTTTTTCTGAACTAGGAAACAACGCGTGGAAATTAAAATCAAGTCTAAAAATGTGTCCTGATGGTAAGTCGCCAGTCGACCGCAGCCCAGCAGGATTACAGTCACTGATGAAATTATTATTAGGAAGTATAAAAATTTCCAATCAAAATAGAAGATTCTCGAAACAAAATATCAGATATAAAATATTGCAGACGCTTTTATTATATATCAAAATATAATAACTCATCAGTATGAAAAAAATATCATATCCATTTATTATCAGAATTCATGTACATTTTGAGAAAGAAAGTTTATACTTCAATGTCATAGGTTTGTACTGCAAACGGTGGCGAAATCAATGTTTTGTAACAGTCTTGACAACAACCAACACAAGACTCTCTTAGGTCAAAGGTCACATGCACGGGGCACGAGTGAACTGAAATCTAGAGGTCAAAGGTTAAAACTTAAAAACATGCACAACGGTTGTTTTTCATAAGTCGTCAGCATTTTTTTTTTAAAGCGTATCCCTGCTAGATCAAGATCCACACTGTTTCAACTCACCTATGCTCTGTTTACAGTTTTCGATGTGTGTTAAATGGAACGATGGATTTTGCTGAAGAGAGCAGAGCAACGGGTTTCATTAGCGAAGTGGCTAGCCGTGCTCTACTGGCCAGTCCGGAACGCTCGTTACTGCAGTCCTCCCGCTAGTCTAGCCGTCCTTATAAAGTATAAAGTA